CTTTACATGATTTTGTTTTATTTTATCTTATTTTAATTTATTTATTTTGCATATCATGCAGCTTTTTCACTTTTTTATACAGTTTGGTCTGTATACTAAAGCATTAATAACTATCAGGTGCAGTGGTGGAAGTATTCAGATATTTTACCAGAGCAGAAGTAGCAATACTACATCGTAACAATAATCTGTTACAAGTAAAAGTTCCTACAAAATGTTACTAATAAAATTACAAAAATATTGGCATCAAAATCCTACTTAAAGTACCACAAGTAAAAGTACTTATTATGCAGAATGGGCCCTTTCAGTATCCTATTAGATATTACTGACACTTTGATGTTGCAGTTGGTAAGGTGGGGCTAATTTTAAATACTTTATGTACTGCTGGGTAGCTTTTGATAATATATCGTAAGTTATACGCTGATGTATATTCTGTAACTGGTGGCCAAGGCTACCACACAAGGTGCCACCTGCTCATTAGCTTTCACAAGCCTGATTACAACAATGGCACAGCCACTGGGAGTAAGGTGGGGTTCAGCATCTTGCTCAAGGACACTTCGACTAGCAGACTGCAAAGGCCAGGGATCTACCCACCAATGTACTGACTGCAGATGACTGCTTCTGAGCCACAGCTACAGCAGAAGTGATTGTTTCTAACTGTGCAGACTCCAGTTTATTTTGGGAGCCACCAGTGAAACAGGCCTCTGCTACATGTGCAGCTGCAGATATTCCTGGATCTACAGATGAGAAAGTTATTTTGCATCCTGGTGATATGATTTCCAATGACACCGCAGAGCAAAATCTGAATGTCTGGACAGATGCCTTTACAATAATTTTTTTTGCTTTAACCCTTTCAGTTGCATTCAGGAATATATCTGCATACAGGTCCTGAGTTGTGGATTTTGATTGATAGTCTGTTACAGTATTAATGAGGGGCCAGTAGAGAGTACAGACCAGTCAGGTGTCACAGAATGGTTGACAGTATATCGCCATGTCACTCCCCTTAAAGGACAACTTCGGTATTTTTCAACCTGGGCCCTATTTCCCCATGTGTATGTGTGCGTATGATTCATGGGTACAACTCGTTCTAAAATTGGTTCAGTATTGAGGGAGGCGGATGCAACCGGAGCCGTGAAACGAGCTAAAACGGTAACGGGGACAAATGCGTCCCGTAAGTTTGCGCATTAAAAGTGTTTTTTTCCGCCACTGACCGGTTCTGATCGCCGGTGCTATGAGTGGAGTCAGCTGTCAGTCAGTGTTGGAGCAGAGAGGGGGAGGGCTGCCCCGCTGGGTACTGTAAGTGAGTATGTGTGTATGAAGTGTGTGTTTTTTCGCCACTGACTGGTTCAGATCGCCAGTGCTATCTCTGTAAATAGCATACTAGCCTTTCCCTTACCTCTGGGCTGTGTGATGTCACGAGCTTTGCTCCACTGTGTCTGTAGCTCTCTCTACTCGTGGGACAGCCGTTTTCTTGAGGAAGAGGTGTTTCGGGATTGGATGTCTTCTCTTCTTCGGCTGGCAGTAGTCATCTTGGGAGAAGTGAGCACTGCAGACTCGATGGTCTGCGAGGCGCAGTGTCTGGACAGGAGTGTTAGCATCCATTTGTAGAACAACTAGCCACAACTTCAGCATCTCGCCATCCGACAAAGGCAGCCTATGAAAGCTGTACGGGGTGTTGTGCGACATCTTGTTCTTGTGTTCGGGAAAAGGCCCGTTTATTTGAGCGCTCCAAAAAAGGTAACACTCCAGGGGGTAGCACGTAAAAGACTCCGTCCCAAACTCTGACTCTTCTAGCGTAACACACACACTTCATACATACATACTCACTTACAGTACCCAGCGGGGCAGCCCTCCCCCTCTCTGCTCCAAAACTGACTGACAGCTGACTCCACTCATTCACACTCACCACTGCCCCAGGGCCGCTACAATATGCTATCTACAGAGATAGCACTGGAGATCTGAACCGGTCAGTGGCGAAAAAAAGCACTTTTATACGGGACGCATTTGCCCCCGTTACCGTTTTAGCTCGTTTCGCGCCTCAATACTGAACCAATTTTAGAACAAGTGGTACCCATGAATCATACGCACACATACACATGGGGAAATAGGGCCCAGGTTGAAAAATATCGAAGTTATCCTTTAATATCTCAGGGTGTATTTTTATGGCAATATTGGATCTTCGTATAATCCTTGCATCAATGGGCCCCTCAGCTCTGGAACTCCCTGCCTAAAGGATCACAGACATCGTGCTGTATAACGAAGCAGTAATAGTAGTAGAAATAGTCGTAGTGGTAGTTTTTGCTGGGTAACCCTTTTTCATTTCGATATCATGACATAAAATGACATAAACTGTAACAGAAGATTTGATCAATAGCACACCCCACTGCAAAACACAGTGAAGATGCTCATCAGTTCCCACATGCAACTTGATAGGCTGTGAACAGTGGGGGGGAGCAAACTCACCCCAGCTTACTGCACACACAGAAAGATGGAGGTTATATTAGCCTCAACCAATCAATTAGGAACAAGACTAAGGGTCTACAGACATGGTTGTGGACATGAGTGGCCTCATTTGACTGAATATATCTAGGTTACTGATGTGTTAAATAATGAGTTCAGTGTGCTGTTGTACAATCATTTAAGTGGCATGATGTAATGACATTAACATATCAAGCACTTACACTGTGCTTATGCAATGCTCTCATACATGTTTAAATCCAATGATGAATCAACAGGGATGTACAAACAGAAGACGACAGTCAGACTTAACAATACACTTATAACTAAAGAGTGCATTTCGTTATTGAGCTTATCTAGTGTCCATTCTTGCTCACTCAGGTCACAGCATAAAGAAATCAGTTTAAATGCCTTTGGATCATCTGTTAAAAAAGGATCTTTGAGTTCATGCTGTAATGAAATGTTTTCTTGTTTGACTAATTTATCTAGGAAGCCTCCACTTTGGATTTCAGGCCACTGTGAGTGACATTTCCTACCCCTCATTAAGCTTCTCTGGCATATAATTAAGAGCCATAAGTGTTTGTGGTGGTGTGCACTCTTAAGTTCTATAGAGGATAAAGGTAAAGGCCATATACATCAGTCATGCAGAGTAATTATATAAGGATATATAGCCGCCAGCAGCTTGACCTTTATGTTTATTCTTCATTGCTCTTTGACATTTCAGAAATGGGGGAATGTGATGGAGGTTTCACACTTGTTTGATGGTTTCCAGTAAGAGAAGAGATTTTATACACTTTGTGTTTCCAGAGTCAAACTATAAGAAAACACCTGGAGCTTTGAGGAGCCTGCAGTGCAGCAGACAAGGCTGTGGACTGGCCTGGGCAATTTACTTCAGCAGCCGCAGTGTGGTTATTAATCTACAACAGGTGAAATGATTAATCAGTTGTTTTCAAATGAGTATATTCCTGTTTTCAGTCCTCTCTAATCGTGAACTTAATATCTCTGGGGTTTCAGTTGCTGGTTGGACAAAACAAGCAGTTTTAGGGAAAGAAACTGTGATGTTCATTTTGTGACATTTTATATACTCAACAATTAATTGACTAATATAGACAGTAGTTGCAGCCTTACAACCAGCAATCAAACATGAGCAACCCTATTTAATTTGTCAACAGGGTTACAATCAACAGTTATTTTCATTAATGATTATTTCTGCATTATTTCCTTAAGTAATTGATCAATTATTTGATTTACAAAATGTCATAAATGTCATAAGAACCATTTCCACAGCCAAAGCTGATGCCTTCAAACTATTGTTTTTGATCGACCAACAGTCCCAAACCCCCAAATTTACTATTGTAAATATAAGTATCATAGTGGGCATAAAAACCCAGCAAATAGTCACATTCATGAAGTCAGAATCGGTGAATTTCTACACTCAAAAAAATTGTATAATTTATTTAACAGGTCTCTAATTTCAGAATAATTTCCACGGGAGTGTCCTGGAAATAACTATATACCATAAAACTACAATTAAACTTGTAGTCCCTTTTACTAGGCCCGTGTGGCTACTCATTTTGACAAATGAACGCCTGTCTCAATTAGACACCTGGACTGGTTGCCAAGCAGTTCTTTTATTTAATAGAAGCTCTTCGGATGCATAAACCCGGATGCTGGAGGCTACCTAAAATGATGTGTCCATTCCTTGATTACCCTGTAAGTTATTCATATTCCTTTAGTCCGTAAGCATCCTCAGATCAAAAGAATCAAAAGGGTTTTTCATAGAAATTAATCCAAGATGTGAGTATTGTTTTAGCAAGATAAAGTGGAGTTGTGTCGGTATGCCGGGTGTCGTAACTCACTTTCACTCTAATGCTGTCTGCTGTAGAAATCAAATGAATGATTATAACTGACATTATTATCATTATTATCTGAAGCCTTATTTTTGTACGAGTAATATTCATACTTGTTTAAATAAACAATTTGATTGTATTTCCTGATCTTTGCTGAGAGAGAGTTTTGTGTGAAAGAAATTAAAGGCCTGTCCCAAATATAGGCCTGTTGATTCCAGTGATGTAAGCAAATAATAGCCCAAAATTTTAAGGTAATTTGGTACTGATTATGGGGTAACTGCTACTTTAAACCAGGGAGTCAGTATGCCAGCTGAAGATGTAAAAAAAAAAAAGAAAAAAAGAAAAAAAGAAATATATGAACAAGCAAAAACACATTTCAGCATTCATAAATTTAATAGTTCATAAAGAATAAAAATTCCAATAATAAATACATATATATTTGTTTTCATTTGTTTTTTGTATTTACCTTTCATTTATCTTGTTTTTTTTTTTAATTAATTTGTTGATTATGATTTCCAGGGTATCACTGACTGGTAAAATGACGCATCTCCAAAAATAATTTAATCTCTTATCAAAAAATTGACCAATTAACTTTCTACCAAGTGACGTATGGATGAATCACCTCGTTTCAGCTCTGACAGTGAGCACAAAACACAGCGGCTTTAGGACCCAGATCCTACAGCGGAAGGAGGAACGCCTCACTGTTACCACCATCATCATCATCCTCCTCCAGCCTCCACCGCTATGATGCTGCATCTCATCCCTCCAGCTGTAATAATGTGTTTAAGTGTGATAGTGAACGGACAATCCGAGGACTCCAAACTGACCGACAGACCTTATGTTGTTTTACAGAAACAGAATTTAGGTAAGACTTGATGTCAGACTGTGGACACTGATGATGAAGGCCTGTCAGAGGCAGTGATGCTGAAAGAAAGGCTCCTCTGAGGTCTTTGTACACCCCAAATTTATCTTTCTGTCTTTATTCTACAGTGGCAACAACTTCCTAATGACATGAGTGGTTTAAAACCAGTAATGCCAGTTAATCCAGCATCTTAGACAGCCTGTTTATCTGTTGTTATTGTCAGTGATCGGCTTGTTGTTGTCCTCGCAGTCACGCTGGGGAGTGTCCTCGCAGTGCTGCTGGTGCTCATGATCATCATGGCTGTCTGTGTCTACAAACCGCTGTCTCGGCGGTGAACGTGGCCCCAAACTGTGAGGAGATAAAGACCAAGAGACAGACCTGCTGTCGGCCCAGTGCAACGAGCACCGAGCAGCTGTGCGCTGGTGCCACAACAACCACCACCACCGTTCCGAGCTGTGGCACCACAGCTAGCTGCCAACACCCACACTGCACAATGAGATACTACCTTTGGTTTCACTTCTCATGAAATCAAGTTGTTGAAGAGTCACTGTATGTTTGGATGCATCAGACTATTACACCTGTTTTAATATGCTGTATTCTCTTTTTTTTTAATTTTTAAATGACTACTCCCAATACTCTGTGCTTTTAGATATACTACATGTGCCATAGTTTATTTATTTTTATTTATTAATGTGGACTACACATTTTATTAAGTAAATGCAGTAATTAGATGCAGTTTATTTACTTTTATGGCACTTATTGAAGGGAAATTTGGTCTATACGCCTGGACTTTTGCAGCCATTAAATGAATCTGAGTTGTCATTGCTTACAGTGGCATGCAAAAGTTGGGCACTCCTGGTCACAGTTTCTTTTAATGTGAATAGTTAAGTGATTAGAAGATATACTGATCTCCAAAAGGCACAAACCTAAAGCTGGAACATGCTAGATTATTATTTTTGTTTTGTACAATTTTAGAGTGAAAAGGGGGAAAGGAGCACCATGCAAAAGTCTGGGCACTCCACATTGAGCTCTCAGACAGCTAATTGGCTTGTCAGCACTCTGGCTTCTTCACAGTAACCATTAGGAAAGGCAAGGTGGTTCAAATTTCAAAGCTTTAGAAATATTCAGACTCCTGAAACCTTTTCCTGTCACTCAGCAGCCATGGGCTCCTCTAAACAGCTGCCCAACACTCTGAAAACTAAAATAATTGATGCCCACAAAGCAGGAGAAGGTTATAAGACCATCGCAAAGCGTTTCGAGGTACCTGTGTCCTCAGTCCGCAATATAATTAAGAAATGGCAGTTAACAGGAAGTATAGAGGTCAAGTTTAGGTCTGGACGACCAAGTAAACTTTCCAAAAGAGCTACTCGTAGGATTGCTAGAAAGGCACATCAGAATCCTTGTTTGACCGCAAAAGACTTGCAGAAAGATTTAGCAGACTCTGGAGTGGTGGTGCACTGTTCTACTGTGCAGCGCTACCTGCACAAATATGACTTTAATGGAAGACACATAAGAAGAAAAAACAAGACACATAAGTCAGCATCAGAAGATTGCAAAGGAACATCTGAACAAGTCGTATGCATTTTGGAAGCAAGTCCTGTGAAGTGATAATATTAAAATATAAATTTTTGGATGCACTGAGCAACGGATCGATCATGCTTTGGGCTTGTGTTGCAGCCAGCAGCAGGGGGAACATTTCACAGGTAGAGGGAAAAATGGATTCAGTTAAATTCCAGCAAATTGTGGAGGCAAACATCACAGCATCTGTAAAAAAAGCTGAAGATGAAGAGAGGACAATGATCCTGAACACATCTCAATCCACAATGGACTAATATATAGGAAATGTGCTAATAGGAAATGGAGTTATGCAACCATAAAACTGTCAACTGTGTGATTACAAAGTGAGAAGGCTTCTGTGCAGATTAAACCAAGCGATACAAGAAATAACTCAGATTGTCTCCCTTAAATGTCACAATCTGCTCAACCTCCTGAAATAAAACTGAGTCTGGATCATCATTTTGTTCTGTGACTGATTAGTCAGATGATGAAGATGAAGGAGATCCTGCTCTGTAACTGATTTATGACGAAGATGCTGTAATTATGAACTGCCAACAGAGAACTAGGCTGATTGTACTAAAACTAATGCACAATAAAATCAGATAGAGGCAGTCATCAGTATATCAATTTACTCTTCATTAAAATTTAGACAGTAACATCTGCTAGGTCTGCACAATTAATCAAAATAGTATAAAAATCTCAATATGGGGTGTTCTCAATAAATGAGGTGATCAGCTGTGTTTTGTGAATAAAGCACATGAACAAAGTCAGGTTCAGTCCTCATGGAAATAAAGTGCTTTTATTTTAGAAACAACATTTTGAAATTGACACATTTTCTTAAAATTTTAACATATTAAAAAAAAAAACCAACCTTGCAGCTGGAACGGTGCATTACAAAGACCTGCATTAAATTAACAAAGCTAGCCTTTTTAAAGTTGACTGTTCAGCAGTTTGGAAAACTTGATCGTTACACAATAAGTAGTTCTTCAGCCTCTGAAAGTGAGACGCAGCTACGCAGAGACCTTTGATAAGTGGTTGGTAGTCAGTGAAGTCAAGTATAGTGGTTAATGCATGTTACTCAGCATCACCCTGGCACAACTGAAACCTCTTCACTGTGTTTTTAAGTTACAAAATTAAAAAAAAAAAAAAAAAAAAAAAAAAAATCTGTTCAAAAGTTTTAGTCTAAGTGGCACCACATAAAATCTTCTCCACCTCTTGTCCCCACCCAGCGTTGACAGAGCAAAGCAATCCCTTGGCACATGCTGATGAAACTAATCCTACATATGGCGGACATGCTTGATCGTAAGAGTCTGTGCTGTCTTTTCTTCTGCTCAGAGGTCAAGAGTTGTTCGTGGCTACAAAAGGCTGACAGACTGCCTTTAGGAATCTGAATAATCTCCGCAGCATCGGTTTGTGTGACTGCATTTAAATGGCATGACGGCTGTAAATCCACAGACAGACTGGACTCTGCTACTGCGTTTCTGAACTGAGGTGACGATGCTCGAAGTTGCTTATTGACAGTTAATAAAAATACGTCCTGTCTCACCATGAAATATGAGAAAATGTTCCATAAAAAAAAAATCCATCCAGGAAAGTTAACCCCCCCATGTTGCAGCAAATATACTACGTTACCATGCAGCTGATTTAAGGTCTACCCATCTGTAGAGTGTACATTCACAAAGTACAAGAAAGTGGACTTATGAACCTATGACTCAATTAACTCAGTGTTCTGAATTAATATTGATATGGCAGATATGCATGAGTGATATTATTTTGCACCAGAAAACATTTACCAGGCTACAATTTCTGATAGATTCACAAATTCCAAAGTGAAGGGAAAATGTGTAAAACTGGAACCCTGAGACGTCCGTTATTCAGTGAGCCCATGGTCCTTAACAAAATGACTGTAGGAAGACTTTGCAGTGAAATCACTCAAATATGTCCCTTTAGGTCCACAGCACTGGTGGCTTTCTATGGTGCTAGGCTCATTCTACCCATCTAAAAAAAAGTATAACTGAGGCAAAATGTACCAAGACTACAACAACAAAAGAAAGAAAATAAAACAAAAACAACAGTGCTCTGGACCTTAAAGGTAATTTTGCTATTTGTCAACCTGGTCCCCATTCTCCCGTTTGTGTCTATGTGACCAGTGGGAAAAACATCTTGCTCAATACTGGACCAGTTTCAAAAACTGTTGCTCCATTAGTCACTGAGATACAAACCATAAGCAAACAGGGCTCAGGTTTAAAAATATCAAAGTTTCCCTTCCACATTTGAGTTGTCGCACTGTATGAAGTCACCTTGAGTAGTCATTCTGTTCATAGGACCTTAATTACACTGATTTGACCCCACTCTGAACAACAATGTGATCAACACACGTGGGTTGCTGCTGCTGTGAATGATTTGGATAGAAAATAAATAAAAAGGTAGAACCGACCCAAAATTATCTGAAAGAGTCAATGAACTAAGCTTGAGGATGGAGACACACTATGCTGAGATAGAAATATATATAAACAAGTATGCTTTTACCAAAAATACCTTTTGGAAAATATCGGATGGCGAGAGTCTGATATTGCCTGTGCAAGAATGATCTGCTATAGAAAGAAATCTGCGGTTGCATAGATGACTAGAGTGGTTAGGAAGGAAAACTTGAGGTGTGGTGGTTGCTTCTGGATCTGGAAAAAGTTGTATTATTATTTCCCTCTTATTCCTTTTACTTCTCAGTGAGAGATAGCTGCAAGATCCTCTCCAGCTCCTCCTCCTCCTGCTTCCTCAACCTGTCCTCTTCCTCCTGGGCCCGTGCAGAGAGCTCCATGGCCAGGCGGAGCTCTGAGTCGGGGCTTGAGGCAGAGGGGGAGCTGACAGAGCTGGGGGTGTCTCCGTATTCCACTAGCACCCCCTCTGGGATACTCCTAGAATGACATTATGGAGAGAAAGTGAGATCCAGCTCTGTTCTGTGACTTGACACAGACAAGAGGTGAACAGATATATCATCTAATTCCCTGTAGGACATGCACATAGCAACGCAGTTCCTTTTACCACATGCCATTATGTAATTCCACCTGTGTTCCTACCTGTCACTCTGGCTACTGGGCATTACATCAGTAAATTCCCCATCAGCGTCTTCCCAAATCCCCTCCTGCAACAACACAAGCATCCGAACATTTAAAGGATGCACCAAGTTGCAAGGACAGCAAGGGAAGATGCAAGAACAGATCTGTGTGTGTTGAGATTTTGCAAGAGAGCTGAATGATGGTTGTTCTGACCTGGCCCGGCACTCTGCGAGACTCCAGCAGACTCTGATGGATGGCGTACTGCAAAAGCTCCTCGTCGTTGTTGGACATGGGTGTGTGTCTGCTGCCTCCTCTGCGGTGGTAACTGGCGGGCACTTCAAACACTGAAGGACACACTTGAAACACAGGCAGTGCTGGACGGACAAAAACCAGAAGAAAAGCGGTTTAGGAATCACAAATATGTAAATATCTTTAAATACTGTCACATTCAGGACTTAAAGTGGCTGCATTCTTACCTGCAGCTTCTTCATCTTCTCCTGAGGATGTTGGTGTGGCTGCTGGCGTTGCTGCTGGCGTTGCTGCTGGCGTTGATTTCGCCTCCTCTTCTGTACTACATTTATTGACATTACCAAATGTAATCCTGGCATTCAGCACATGAAACAGGGGAATCTCTGCAACAAAGGAAGACTCAACAGATTAGATACAAAAACAGACTTCAGGGCGGGAATGGGACTAGAGACTAGTGCTGTGCCTCAATTTGGATCCTGCTGTTAGCACACTGTGTACACTTTGTTCACCGGAGAAACCGCAACTGCTGCAGCTTCCTCAGCCACCATTTTTAAAAGTTTGGTGGTCCCTCCCGCAGCTGCTACGTAGCCAAGATGGCAACCATTGAGGGTGAGATGTGTCCAGCGTTCCACACTCAACTTTTTGACCATTATGAGTACACCACCCCGGTACTTACACAGCACCGCATTTGCAAAACTTGTTGATCTGAACACATTACGCATTCAAAAACGCAAGTGTCTGTACAGAAGAATGCAAATTGGGACACGTGTCCTTCCTTAAAGTGTAGTTTCTATTCAACTTGGTAGGAAAGTCATTTACCTATTTTAACAGGGAACCCAGGGGGAAACTTCAGAGTTACAAAGTCCCGTAGCCGTGCAAAATGGGAACTGGTCCGAGCCATGAGGTCAATAATGGGGGTCACCTGCTCCACCAGGGACAGAGGATGTTCCTCACTCATCCACAGTGTACCTTTGAACCTACGTGAGACAAGATTAATGCAAAATGCTGTTCAAATATGCACACTACTTAATTTATTGATGTAGCTAACACAAGGCAGTGGGAAAAAAGTATGATGTCTCTGTGGCCATAAAGTTTCTTACTTCTGTGTTCGAATGCTTAGTTCAATGGGTCGGCCGATGTCTCTGTTCCCCAGGTCAAAGTCAGGATCAAAGTATTCCTCAGGAGTTATGGCAGTGGGATTGGTGGCAGTTGCATACTCAAGAGTCAGGTCCTATAAAGTCGAGCACTCATATCAAATCAGCTACCAACAGAACACACAACTTTAATGCAATAAATGAAAGCATGTCTTACCCCTTGTGCACTTATGTGCTGCTCCACAGTCCCAAGCAGAGACTCCAAGATGTTCCTTTCACCTTTGAACAAAGTTGAACTTCAGTACTCTTGTTCAGTTTCCGGAAAATGTAGCTTTGATATTCTTTTGGACAAAAACTATCATTTACATTATATATGCACATGCTGAAAATATACACAGCGAAGAAGAGAATATATGAGGAATATTTTCCACCTACTTTTTATCCGGGCTTTCTCTTCATCTGTAAGATGTTCTGTCCTTGTCCTGATTACCACATTTACATTGTTCACACTGAAAACCTGAGGAAAATACCAGAATCTAACGTCAGGATCTATTATGAATGGACTCCACAGTTTTAAGTGGCACTACTCTTTAGTTGTAATTAAAAGAAAAGGTATAAAACTGAACCTTTGCTTCAAATCCATTGACGACTTCAGTTTTGTCAGCTCTCCAGCCCCAAATCCCGGACTTGTTCCTGAGAGAAAGAAAAAAAAAGACAGCCGTAACTTCTGGAAACTCCGTCATCACTACAGGTATAATCCACCATCATCCTTTAGTGTGGTATACCTTTTACAACACAACGAATACAATACAACACAAACTATAGATACGAGATATTTTAAGTAGCCTGTCAGTGGATTTAAATCATTTGCACTTATCCGTGATTGTTCTCTCATTTTTGAGGCTTTAGCATGTTGCAGTTGAATTTTGTTCATAAATAAGATATGTTCCTCATGGCCTCAGTTAACTATTCTAAGATGTTCTCTCATCAACATGTTGAGCAGGAGAAGCTTAATAACATTACAGATGCTTCGGTTCCATTCAGCTGCTCTAACAAGCAGCTGAGCCACAATACAGAGGAACACGGCGGAGGCTGCAGTGCTGAACACCTATACGCAATCCAGCCATCACAAATGTCACTAGTTACACCTGTGTTTGTCAAAGCAGCCACTGTAAGAAGGGCCTATTATTCCTGACTACTATAATCACGGTTGTGTGTCGACTGTCGCCTGTGTTTGAGGACGTTATGTAGGTGAAGAGTAGCGAGACAATAAAAAGACAATATGTTGCCTCAAGCTAAATGCACGATGTATAACTAACACGCCTATTTAAATTTGCTCACATTATAATTACCTATTGTAAGTTGTTAGTTTGTAGGGCTACACAACACGCTCACTTAAAAGTAAGCGTGGACGTTCAGACAACCGTTGATTGAATAAGTCAGTGTAAATATTGCATGTTAGGCAATGAGATGGCAGAATGATACTGGAAATATCGTAATAAGCCTAATGGTATCACTGTTTACACAACAACCTCACTGCCATGAGATGTAAACTCTGATAAAAAACTGTCAATGTGGAGTCTGTTCTTGGCTTGTCAGAGGAAGTTATATCTATGTACATAATGCTGTCATGACACCTGAATTTTAAAGTTATACTATGCAGGATTTTCAGAAAAAAAAATGACAATGTATAGACTCATACAGAGGTAAACCCTCTCAATCATCACTTATGACCCACTATAAGTGTGTGGTTTCTGCAGAGACTGCCCTCTGCCTGTATTTTTTTCTTATTTTCTGTGTTTTGGACATTTATATGCATGCACCCCCACAGCACTCAGGTGAGGTCAGGGCTTTATAAAAGGTAGTGACAAGGTGTCGGATGGTAAGCAGCAGGCATCCAAGAGGCAGAGTGCAGAAAAAACACAAATATAGTTAAGTGAAAGGACAAACAAGAGTGACTCTGGGGTTGGCGTTTACTTTCACTTTCACTAGCGAGTGTGTTTACAAACAGAAACCAACAATCTTGCATGGTACACCTTTAAACTTTGATACAATACTAATATAAAAAACGAAACTTGAAACCTCTTTTGATATCACGGTAAAAAGAAAAAACACCCTTGGCACTCAAAATAAGAGATACTTTAATACTATCAAGTGTATAATTAACAGAGACTGTATCTTTTAAACGTGGTATTACAGAAGGATTGATACTTTTGATAACCCTTAGATGTATTTATGTTGTGAGAAAACAGAAAAAGATGTGACTCCTACCTCTCAAAAGCAATATCCTTGGTGTCCAAGTAGGTGTTGACAATAGGAGTGGTTAACCTTTTGGCAACTTCCTGTTCGGCTGGCTGCATTGACTCGAGCGTGACGTCCTCCATTTCTTGAGATATGTTGAAGCGTTCAGTGTCCACTACTTCATCGTCGTGGTTCACCTCCATCAACTCTGCACATGAATCTGTAAAAAGAAACCAGGGTTAGACTTCAATCATTTAGTAGAAGTCAAAGAGAGAACTGTTTGTGTGTGTGGGAGAGTGAAAGCACACACCATCTCCTCTGAAGATGTAGCTTCTGCGCCCCCTGATCCAAGTCATGTTTTCAAAGCCTAGGAGAGTGGCATCCACTCGCAGGCTGGCGCCACTTTTCCAAATGCGGCAAACATCACTTGGACAGACCCGGGACAGAAGAGGGACTGTGAAGCAACAGCATATGAATGTCCCACACATGGAAAACAGCGTCACTCATTACTAAACCAAAACAAATGCTTCCCCCACCAAGAGGCTGGTATGTAGTTTTTCCTGTATGACCTGATGAAACCTCTAAGATGGCCAAGATTACGGTAAGTGTTTTGTGTGGATATTTAATTGCAGAGTGCAGCATTCAAAAACACTTGTAGATACTTTATTCTTTTGCGTACACAGTGCTGATAACCACACTGTGCTACATGAAAAGGTTGCTATGCAAACACAGTCTACTTTACTTACACACACACACACACTCACACACACACAAAAGAACTTACTCCAACTGGTGAATTCCCACTTCATTTCCATATAGAAGTCTGGTGACTGCAGATGAAATCATAGACAGAGCAGTTATATCCTTTGCTGGTAAATGTTTCCAGGCACACGTACAGACGGATGAAATGACAACGGGAAAATGTATAAAGTAAAACCTCTCGGATCTTTGACAGCAGCTCAGGCACTCCTCCCAGAGCAGTGGAGGCTTTGAGGTAGTCTCTGCGTTGAAGCACTAACTGAACCATCTCTGGATCTCCGGTGCTGACTGCCTCCTGTAGCACTACACAGAGACAGACAAGTACTGTATAAACAAACCACTAAACCTTTTAAGGTAACAGCATCTGTTCCCCAGGAGTAGCAACTATCCATTAAAAAACCTCAACAATGACAGTAATAACCAAGGAAAGTGAGAATGTTCCAGAGGAGTGGATATATTGACTTTTACCAGAAACCCCATTAACAGCAGACAGTGTGTAGGTTAATGTGAGAAGGGCTCTAAGTGATCAGACAACCCACAGATCATCAAAAAGCATATATACAAGACAAGTGATGGAAACAGTCCTGATATAACAGCGTTATTTCTCTGTTATGTAGACAGTTTTATAACTAACCTGTCCAATTCATGCTGTTTTCTTTAGTCACTGAAGCACCGTGTCTCAGAAGGACTCTTACGGATTCCAGGTGCCCAAGCGACACAGCCAGGTGCAGAGGTGTCCGACCTCTGGGATCCACAGCCTCAATGTCATTCTGAGAAAATCAAGGAGAGACCAACACATTAGTGAGACTGAATACAGCAGTATTGACATGACAACCTGTGACATTAACAAAGAAGCATGCTGGCCTTGTAATATTTCTTCACTTATAACCAAGGGCCTTCATATTATACCTCATAGAGGCATTTTACAGCTTTAAATTGAGGTCATCACTTGTAATGATATAGACCTGCAGTAATCAGCGCACTGACGAGACTGAGCATCATGTCTGGTCCCATACTGTATGAGTCATGAGGAAAATGTGTTATTGATCGGCACTGCTGGGTACTGGTGACAATTATAGAGACTGGATCATAGCAATTATATTTCTAACTGAGATGATTTACTGCGAGGAAACACACAGCAAGATTAGACATACTTTTGATAAATTAGTGATATTTAGAGATAACTTGTTAGATTAGTCATCGGCATGTTTGACAGGAATGATGCTGTGGAGATGATAAGACATAATCACCACTCTAAACTCGTTATAATAATAAAAATAGCACAATGCATGACAGTCTGTGAACTGTCAGGTAATACACCACAAATGAATGCATGTATTTGGCAAAGCAGATCCTATGTTATCATATGTAGTGTGATAGTGTTTTTGAGTAACCCAGTGAATTGGGTTAGTAGCTTAAATTAACAGCTAGAAACAGGCTTTTAATTTGTAGTTGAATGCATTTATTAAAGTAAACTTTTAAACCTGTTGATCGGTGAAGCTATGTCCTCATACACATTTCAAACGTTATCTGTGTGCAGCACAGCGGAGCATCTGTCAACACGACTGGCCTACTTTTACTGGGTGGCTACGGATGATTTAACAGCTCAGTCCTGGCTTCATCTTGCTAGCAAGCATTGGTGTGAAGGTCTAAAACGATTTCCCGTGTTTCACCAACCTGTGGTAACGTTATTTGTTCCTCCAGCGTCCTGTAGTCATTCTCCCACACTGCGGCATGCAGGGGAAACTTCCCTCGGAGGTCTTCGCTAACGTTAGCCGTGGACATCTTCCTCTTTATGGAGCCGCTCAGTGCAACGTTAGCCTGCTTCTAATAATTACAGCCATGGGGAAAACTACGAAGGCCACACGCTAGTTATGACAAAATTCACGATGTATATGAGCCATGCCCTTAATATGTGACAAAAACAACGTCGAAATATCGAAACCGGTGTCCAACTTTTCACCAAGCCTTCCTCTAAATAAAAACTTTTGAACAAGGAAGTGCCAGGAGCAGTGCTCAATAATGACAGGGGTGTCCTACATAGAAATGGACTCACTGTCTACTTAATACAGTCAAATTAAAACAACTTTCCTTACCTTTTACAAACGGAACTCAATTTAAGTGTAAAAACAATCATTCCGTTGGTAAATACACGACATAAACATGATTTTTAAAGAAACGCATCGCCTTTTAAAAATAATAGTCACTTCCATTTGGGCGGAACCATTCAACATGTCCGCATGGGGGTGGCCAAACATTCAAACAAAAGTATTTACGTCATTCCGTGTCACACTTTTATGCATTAGATACGTTAAATAACTGAAATTAACGCATTATTGTCCAGCAAAAATACCACGGCAATTATTGTAAATGTTGCGTTCAGACAGTAAATTGATATCACGCCTATAGGGTCGAAATGAGATCGTCGCCTTTACGTTACAGCGAGGGGGAGGGATTGAGAGGTTGAAAATCTGAGACTTTACCGCCAGCGTACACAGGTAATAGCCTGAGGTAATAGCACATAACCTGTGGCGGGTTGCTCTATTAAAGGAATAGTTCGGATTTTTTTGAAGTGGGGTTGGACGGGGTACTTATCCATAGTCAGTGCATCACCTTCAACAGTTGTCAGTCAGTACACCCTCAGTTTGGAGAAGCAGGCTGGAATTTCGACAAGAAAGCTAAGCGTACCGTTGTAGATGGGGGGCCAGCAACAAAACATAGTTTAACTTAGCCACCTAAAAAAAGTCCCACCAAAATAAAAATATATTATATATTTTGAACCTCTTTATTTTATAGGCCAACGGAAATTTTTTTTTATCACAAATGCAAATGGACTAAAATGATGCCACATATACAGCAGCTGTCATGAAGGGGAAAATTAGCAACAGAGATAAAAATTGTTTATGTACCAGGCTGCACACGTATATTTCTGCTGTAAAGTTGGGAATGTTAACTTGCCGCATGGCAAGAGCTAGGGCCCATGTTTTAATTCCTGTCAGCTGATGTCATTCACTTACACTGCAAAACATTCTTATGTTGTGTTCACAATGGGCGTGAATGAAACAATTTGCGCGAGGGAATTACATGTAAAGTCAATGTAAAGATGCAATTAGACGTAAATTCCCACCAGGCAGAGCCATGGAGGCAAACGATACAATGCGAATGATGCGAAATACGCAAATATGCAAAGAAGCAGTGCGAGTGAAGTGAGTAGTGCATTCTTGCATCATACACGTATTCATGAGAGTTGAAAAATCTGAACTCCAGCGACCACTTTGGGACACAATAGCCAATCAGCATTGGGACCCTCTGGAGACGTATGACACTGAGGACCTACCAGAGGAAGTTCATTTATCGATTCAGCAATTTCACGCATGTATGGCGCAAGTTATTTGTGCATTTGAGCAAGTCAACACAAAATATTGTAGCGTTCAAACTCATGCAGGTATCACAATAGATTTTCGCATCACGTTTGGTGTGAACACAACATAACAAGTAATACAAAAGAACCTATTCAAAATGTTTATGTTTCAAACGGTCTATATAGTATAGTTGTGACATCACAACTTCACCAAAGTCCTGACAGCTTGTTTTAAGGAACAATTATTGAATATGGACTGTGTGCATTTATCTGTAGATTGAGCATTTTGATATTTTCACAGTATTTATATAGCACCTATACCAACTTTATTTTGAACAAGACATCAAAATCTGTCTTTTCTTTTCCTTTAAATTTATTTCTTTAATGTTATCTAAATGAAACTCTTATGTATGTAGCTTTTTGTTTTGTTTTGTTTTGTTTTGTTTTGTCCTGTTCTGTTTTCTTGTCAAATTGTATCTTTATACAAAGATAATTGCATGGATTGAGCAATTAAAAAAAAGTATTTTTGTACCGTGTCACGAAGGTGCTTAGATCAAACTCACCTGCTTATCAATGTCTATGTGCCCTCAGTGATGTCTGTCAGGTTGTGTACCACCCAAACCCACAGAACACTCCAACAAATATATTGTGATGTTTGTACAATTTATGCTTATTAGTAGCTGTAAAAATCAGGGCTACGATTGGGATGTGGTCACCCAGGTGAAACACAAAAGGTAGCTGGTGATATATTTATTTCCGAGGAGAAGTTTGTTTCCTGAGAGGCTCACCTCTGGGCACAGTGTCGCCCTATACAATAGGTCACAGTCGCAGCTGCCACTGGGAATGCTCTCGCGCTGTGCAGTCGCAGTCGCTGTCTGCTGAAGAGTAAACTACCAAGCGGGCACAGGCTAGTTAGCTAATCAGGTGCTAAGTCAGCTAACTTGCAGCCAAGCAGCATTGTACCGTACTCTCCTGGGATAACGTTATAATGGTTGTAACGCGGGCGATAGCCAAAACGAAAAGGCTAGCAACATTTAAATGAGGTAGAGGACCGTTGTTTGGGTTGTTTTTAATTAGCTAGGTCTAGCTAACGCGGAAGGAATCCCCACAGAGTAATCAATGATTAGCATAACGCAACGGACATAATACGCTCGTTTTAAAAGGCGTTTCTTCCTGAGTAAAGGATGTCTAAACGCCTGCGAAACACTGAGGTCTGCGCTGATTGCAGTGTTCCAGGTAAGCAAATCCACACCATCCCTGTAGTGTGAGGCTGTTAGCTTTATTTATTCACAGACGTTTGGTCCATCAAGTACCGTTAAGCCAAAGCCTTGCACTTCACTACTCTGGTGTAAATCAGATTATCAGTCCTGGCCCATGCTGCTTTCTTATACAGTCTTCACAGTAATTTAGACATGCAGTGTATTGTTGTTTCTACAGGGTAAGTTGTAAGTGTTGTTGACACTTCACCAGTGTTATAGCTCCCCGGTTGAGGATGCAATTAGACCTGAAGCAGCTGTCTTTTTAACTGTTTCCATCCGGACTTGCTTTAGTTAATCAGGCAGGAATTTCTGATGTGTGTGTGTGTGTGTGTGTGTGTGTGTGTGAGAGAGTATAATTGGACAGCAGTTTTGTCACAGGTAGCAAACAATAAGTGTGAATGAAATGATATTTGCCTCATCTAGGTGTCCACTACATTTGAAATAAAAGTAAATCATCCATCATGATCAGCAGAAAAATGCTTTTTAAGCACCCACCAGGATGTCTGGATCATTCATAAAAAGTCAGTGAGTAAAGTGGTCCACTGTCAGCTCTTTGTACACCACACATGGGCATTGCCTACATTGGCAATGTGTGACTGAAGTTAACTATTGTGTTAATGAGGAATGACTGAATGAATGTACTCTTAATGATATTGCTTTTTCCTCCACTGATCTGTACTGTGAACTATGGAAAAAATAGTCGTTCAAACAATAATGAGTGACAAGACTTTGTAAAAATAATCAAATAAATAAATGATTTACATCCGCAACCCAAGTCTAAAAATGCTTCTCAGACTGAACCAGCTGCGGCACTGTAGTGTCTGTGGTGACTAGCAGGAGGTTTATTGGTCCAGATAAAGACAACTTAATCCTGTGTCCTTACAAGAGATTTGCTTGTTGAATAATGGTAATGATAAATAGTATTAGGGATGGTTTAAGCTTTTATTAGTACTAGTTTCATTGTGTGTGAGGTACTTTCAGGAGTCTCATTTATATAGAAATGACGTGATGTTTTTCAGCAGGCACAGGAAGCAAAACAGGATGCGGAGTGAATCGACTGCGTGCTTTCAATGCAAAAGAGATTTTTCTCTATTGTGGCATGACGGTACATTTTAAACCTGATATGCTGTAAGAGTTGGTTTTAGAAATGTAAAGCCAATATAAAAAAATCACAAGAAAAATCAAGAACAACACTAGCAAGTATGCTAAATACTCAGTAATACTCAAGTTTTAGTGCCCTGTCTGTCATCATGTCGTTAAGTCTAGTTTAACTCTGGGTGTCCACAGCAGCTGGCCTGGATTGCCCCTCCATGTGGCTTTTACCAGTTGTTGGCTGTGAATATTTTTAGTTTCAAGATTTGGTATTAAATTTAGCAGCACTTGTTGAGGAAAGGGTAAAAGAGGCATGTCAGCACCAACTCCCAGGTCTTGGTTGAAACTCACAGTAAGTTAGTTGAGGAGATCCTGAACACAAGGGACCAGGTGCCAGAATTTGACCAGTAACTCCTGCAGCTGTTCCTCCTACAGTTCACCTCAGCTGCTGCTAAGACACTCACAGTCCTCACTGTGCTGTCACTGTGCCAGCCAGTCAATCTGCTTAACAGTTTATCAGCTATCAGTGTCGTATGAATTTACAGTATTTTTGGTCTGGAGATGTTCGCTGTCACAGGAGTCTCTATAAACGGCAGACGACACAACTCTGACATTTGTGTTAGATAAAGTGTTCTAAATAGATCAAGGTTAAGTAAACATTTTTATTTTGGTCACAGAGTATATTGTATCTTGTAAATGCATTCAGTCTCCATTTCTCAGACTGTGCATTTCCTCACTATGCTGCAGCACAATTATTGATAGCATTCGTCTGTCATACAATGTTTTGAAAGAGGAAGCTGCTCTGTTTCTCAACAATAAGGTTAAGGTGCTTCAACCTACAACTGCAAGTCTTCACTTCCTTGTTACACAATGCATGGCTCCACCTAAATCTGGTGTCAAAAAGGCCTTTGATGCCTGTTATAGCTGCTGTTGTCACTGCCAATTGAGGGTTGACTCTTGTCTTTATTTTTTCTGGTTAGAGTGTGTTTGTGTCTGCATGTAAAAACCTCCTCAAGGCATGTTCTGATAGTCTAACCTGAATTTGGCTGCCTGTTATATTCGTGCCCTACATTGTTTGAACTGTTCCTGTTGCACTTGCGTAAATATTGCTTCCAGTGGTCTGAGCTTTGGTTCTTGGGACTTTCCTGTGGCACTCAGTCCAAAGCCCATTTAATCTTGAAGAATTAAGACATACACTTATAAAAACAGGTCAGAAAATGTGGAATATCATTATTGAAACAGCAAGGCACTGTCGTTTCAGCAAATGTAACTGGTGAAGCAGAAGTAAATAGTGTATTTATTAGGGGCTATTTTCAGCCATGGATTATTACATCAGTTGTGGCAGCAGGACCGTTTATGTGGGATTAACTACAATACCTATGTTTATCTAATGATGGTGCACCTAGTACGTTGGTGTGGCTCACTGATGTATGATTGTGACTTTTTGGACAACAATGGAGGTGGATGGCATGGGGGA